TTTACTTGATTATATTTACCTCTCTGTTGAAAGCGACTTTCGACAGCGGCATGTTAACAAGTCTAATAACCATGCCTACTATTGAGTGACAACATTTTGTACTGTATGGCGTGAACAGTTGCGTATTGTGCGTTCAAACGGTTCCAATATGAAACGGCTTATGGTAAAGTGAGAGAAGTTATTAAAGTGAGAGACTATTTTTATAGAATATTCACACAATTGAGTACATTGTCCGAAAAGGTTTTTCAGTTGTATATTTATTGTAACACATTCACTTGACAATATTGATCATGGAATTAATTTTGTGTATTTGATTATATTCAATTTCCACCAATTAAGAGGAAATAAAAACGAACAAATCACTCAGATCGAAGAAAATACTCAGTCGTTTACATATTTCAAATGACATTATACCTTCCAATATTATCCTAACTTATTGTTTAGTGATTTTACTCAAATATTGTTGAATCATAACATTAATACACCACAATTTACGAATCATATCATCAAAAACACAATCAATCCGTCATTTCACCTTCCCTGGTATTCTTCTATTTTCTAACGACAATCATACATAATTTGTTATATATCGAATAAACGCTTTTCGCATCTACGTTCAAACATCAGAACATTTCCACAGCCGGAACGTTTTGAAATATCGTTGAGTTGTAAATTATGCACTGTAAATAATTGTTCTAGTTGGAATATATGAGATTTCGTGTCAGAATCGTAACAACGGTATAAATGGATGTGTTAATATACCCTTTATGTTATATGATGTGACAAGCGTATACATCTGACATAGTCTATTAATGAAACATAAAAATGGTAGCTAGTGATGTTGGATGAAACTAAAAATTGTCCAAGCAAAAATATGAAAAATTAAACTGAACACGCTCACAAAATATTTGGAAGAACTAGTTCATCCCATATTCAAATAGAGTTTGCAAGATTTCATTTATGCTGCCTCGTGTTATTTTAGATAAGGTGGCGAAACGTTTTTCGTTGAACCAGTTGTACATGGAGGTGTTTTTGAAACGGATCCTCTTCCTGTGGTATGTGATAGTGTTTGTAGTCGAACTCAATACTTACAAATACGGCAACGTCAAAACTTCCATTGCGATGGTGTTGGCCAATTGAAGGCTGACAATCCAACTTAATTGGTAACATCTGTGGTACTGGTCCCGATTTGCAATTTGGTTACATTTTCAGCCCTGAATTGACGGACAGCATCATAATACCTATCATACTTTATATTAAGTTCTTCCTGAAATTATTCTTGAAATCTTTCGAATATTCTTCCTAAGACACATAATTATATCGAATACCTAGTAGTAATACCTAAGTACTTAGTTCAAAAGAGTTACTATCGGACATTTTTACGGAGTCCATGGACGTTTGTTTCTGCTACGGTAAGACATCGAGAATTATTCATTGAAACTCAAACGCTAATTACGCGATAAACTAATAATGCATTTGCAATGAGAACAATAATGATTTGGAAATCGATGGAGGTTTTTGAGATGTTGAATGACAAAACTCATGAGTTTTGCACGCTTGACAACTCCTGAGCGAGGAAATGAATTTTCACGTTCTTGTTCAGATTATAGAGTTTTTCAGGTTGGCGGCGCTGGGTGGTAATGGCATCGAGACGTCATCTATCAAAGTGGAAAGTTTTCAGTGTATTCTGCTATTTCATCACGAAAAGACTTACAAACGACCAACGATCGCAAATTGTTGAAATTTACTATCAAAATTTGTGTTCTGTGAAAAATGTGTATCGTTTGTTACGACCATATGGTCGCCATAATTGACCTGGTGAATCAACAATGCGTGCTATTATCACCAAATTTCGCACCAAGTTGACTTTGTTGGGCATTAAACCATTGTCTCGCATGCGTACAGTGAAGAGAATATTGCAGCAGTAGCGTACAGTGTTAATGAGGATCGTGAAATGTCAATTCGTCGCCACTCTCAGCAATTGGGCATGTGTTACTGAATCACATGAAACATTTTACGTGTTGATTTGAGTTTGGAAGTCTATGAAATTCAACTTCTGGAAGAATTGGAGCCGAATGACCTACCACAACGTCTAATTTTTGGTGAATGGGCCTTAGAACAGCTTAATGAAAATCCGCTGTTTTATCGAAAAATTGTGTTCAGCGATAAGGCTCATTTCTGGTTTAACGAATATCTAAATAAACAAAACTGTCGCATCTGGAGTGATGAACAGCCACATTCCATACAATTATTACCGATGCATCTCGAAACAACAACAGTTTGGTGTGGTTTATGGACTGGTAGCATCACCAGTCCATTTTTCTTCAAAGACGACCGTGGAGGAAACGTTACCGTTAACGTCGAACGACATCGAGCCATGATACCATTTTTTGTTTGGCCCAAGTTGGCCGAGTTGAACTTGTTTGAGATGTGGTTTCATCAAGACGGTGCCACATGCCACACAGCTCGTGAAACAATGGACATGTTGAAGGATGAATTAGGTGAGCAGCTGCGTTAGCTGCTCTTCGTTAGCTTCGTCGAAGTCGTTAGTGTATGTGGACAACCCGAACACGATTGAAGCCTTACAGGATAACATAACACGCGTGATTCGTGGGATCCAGGCCGAAATGCTCGAAAAAGTGAGGCAAAATTAGAACTTCTGAATCGACCTTTTGATACCGAGCCGCGGACAACATTTACATGAAGTTATCTCTAAAATGTAAATGGCAAAGGTCAAGTTATCAATTTCAGTAAAACTTCCGAATATATGATGCAAATTGAGAGTTTCATTCGATTTAAAAAAATTACGGCTAAAAAATCACCCATTACAAATATATCGAATTCGAATTCAACGAACTAAAATTTCATTTAAGGATACGTCTAGTAGTTTGGCGTAAAATAGGTAGTGGAATAGGCAACTTTCGCTATTGATAATTGAACATTGGAGAATATTGAAATAGGTGACAAGATTTATTGGAAACAAAATAATAGTCACTGTTTCGTGTTCCAAGTAATTCTTCACCTGCGTCACATCCAACAAACAACGAACGGAAGGCATCGATATAAATTCTCAGAAATCCTCTCATGAATCAGAAAACAGGAATATATTGCAAAGTCGTATGCATATATAGCTCATAGAGTACTATACATCTCAAATCTTAGAAAGCAAGAGAAGAAATATAAATAATATAAACGTTGAGGTACACAAATTTGACACTTTATCAATTCAGATACATCTTTTAACGCTCTTGTAGCAGGCAATATGTCTTATGTTTAAGAAACTCTTAAAATGAGTTCAATTTAAAAATTTTTAAACAGAGAATTTCAACAAGTATCTCCCTCCTCAATCAACCGTATGTCTTTTTCATTGAATATTATTGAATATCATTAAACATGAACTAAATTGATATTCATCAATTAAATTAATTATCAGAATATGTTATAATATATTTGTAACGGAATTATAATAAATGCGTTCATGAATTCATGGCCAAAATCAATAATCCGATGTCGATATTTATCTGAATTTTACTTATCGAAATCATATCGACAATTTGAAATTGGAATAGAATATATGTAGCAGTAGACTGGATAATCCAGAACTGTATTTAATTGAATGTATGAATCGAATTGCAAATGTAAAATGCATTACGGATGGAAACGTTCATGAATTATTTCGATATTGTGAACGCAAAAAATTGTAATTGTTTTCCATCGTTTATCAATTTTACAAACACATATACCACATTGATTGCAGAAACTAATGGAACTAATATCAGAAAACTGACGAAATAATAATAAATGCGTTTATGGAATCATCAATAACTCAATAACCTGATGTCGATATTTATCTGAATTTTAGTCATCGAAATCATATTGACAATTTGAAATTGGCATAGAATATATCTAGCAGTGAAGTGGATAATCCAGACCTGTATCTGATCGAATTTATGAATCGAATTCCAAATGTAAAATGCATTACGGATAGGAACGTTCATGAATTATTTTAATATTATGAACGCAAAAAATTGTAATTGTTTTCCAACGTTTATCAATTTTACAAGTACATATACCACATTGATTTTAAAAACTAATGAGTTCTATATTTAAGCGTTTCATATTTTCATTTCCTGTGGATATTTTTTCATTAACAGATTTGGATTAATAGCCAGTTGAATGTCTATGATTCCACATAAATGATCAAAACAACGTGATCACTATTTTTTTTAACAGTTCAAAGCAAGCAGAGAATAGAACACTTAATTAGAACTCGTATTTATCCAAAAATTCGATCAAAATATGAGGTCATTAATATGTTTTCAACTGGCTTATGAATAGCTCATGTGAATATGGGATGATTGCTATAATGAGGATATGTCATAGTCAATCATATTTAATTATCAATGTTATATTTATTAATTCATATTACTAAAAATATACTTCAAAAGGCCTTCCTATTTTCGGCAGTCTGCCTTATTGAAATTTTTTTCCATTCTAAATTATAAATTTACATTTTACATATATTATATATATATATATATATATATATATATATATATATATATATATATATATATATATATATATATATATATATATATATATATATATATATATATATATATATATATATATATATATATATATATATATATATATAAGTGTAAAATTGTTGGGTTATCATATATCTTGATATTGATTTATTATATATATTTATATATATATATATATATATATATATATATATATATATATATATATATATATATATATATATATATATATATATATATATATTCCAAATGTTCTGTCCGTGAATAGTTAGCAGGAATAGTAATTACTCTACTTTAAATGTCGAGATGTTCGAAAAGAATATTAATACATCTGGGAGGATGGGAACGTTTTTACCACTTTCGCGTGCAGTATGAAAAAGACTTCCGAGCGACAAAGTCTAGCTTTGAATAAAAGAGTAATTAGATATAAGTTAAAATTGAGTGGGGACCTCGGTATCTTAGTGGTCAGAGCAGCAGGGCGTAAACCTGAAGACCTGGGTTCGAATCTCAGTCGGGGCCGTAAACTTTCACAAACTCAACTGGTCATAAATACATAAAAAATACATTTACCATATATATATCTATATATACATATATTTGAAATTGATTTATTGCCTGTTTAAGATAGTGTATTCTTAATGTTTTTAGCAATAACAATACATTTATCAGTTTTGACAAAGTTGTGATATACAACGAAACGGAAACGAAAATTGAGTTTTTCATATTGAAAGAAGCATGTTATTGCCCAAAACATTAAATATATATATATATATATATATATATATATATATATATATATATATATATATATATATATATATATATATATATATATATATATATATATATATATATATATATATTCATTTCAATACTTCTTATACCAATCGTATTATTAATTTCCATATTTTCTGCATAACAGACTTTTGTGAATGAAATCATCCCCATTTTGTTAAAGTTCCGTGTAAAATTGCAACTTTGTTGAGGGTATGAAATAATTAAATTTTATGAACCACTTTTCATATCAAAGTCAAATGATATGAAAAATGATTCCTATTAATATGAAATTGTAATATGAAAAATGAAACAACTTGGCATTTTTGACTCTTCAGTATTCAGACGAATTTTTTTGGCTCAGCATTCAACTCGACATTGTGTTTGTCTTTATTGTACTGTCGAGTCGAATAACTTAATTAATAAATTTGAATGACCTTGTTTTTATTGAACATAGACGGGTTTCAATATTCAAGTTCAAAATTCAGAAAATTTATTTTTGAATATTTTTTATAACTCTACAATTAATGTTATTTGTGAAGTTTATCGAAATGAAAATTGAAACACACAAACACAAAATGAATATCAAAATATACAATTTCTGGATGAGTATACTTGTATGAAAACTCAACTATGTAAACTGAGTCCATTTCAAAGATAATATTACACTCATTTGAATCACCTTGCTTTCAAAAAGAATAATACATTTTGGAAGCGAATGCTGAGCCAGAAATATTCTTCTCGGTACTGAACAGGCGAAAAAACCAATTTCAGTTTCTTGAAAATATTGCATTCAACGTTTGATATTGATCCCAATGATTTACAAAATCCAATTTTATAATAGTTTTTACAGAGTTGCAACTCGAAACGAAACGTCACAAGAATGAAGACTTTTTCGATTTTGTTGAAAAAGCCTGTTATTGATACAAATATAAAAAATATTGTATATAGATAATTACATTTTCTCCATACGGAACCAATACTTTCATTATAGTAGAAAGGCATTCTGCTAATGAAATGCTAGTACAATCACTAAAAACAACAACAGTGTTCAACGATAAATGAATATGAATGTTCTTCTGAAAACTAACTCGTCCATATTCAATAATCCACCATAACTGTAACCATTATCTGAAGAAGCATCCAAAACAAACAACCGTTTCAAATTCGGTTACAAACCCAATTTCTCTTGTATCCCAAAACTATTCCTCAATGTTGGTAATCCTCAATCAAGGCATGGTAGTTGACTACGATTTCCTTCAAACGCGCTTATCCTAGAATGTTAATCAAAATTTAAAGTAGTATTGAAACAAGAGCATGATCCGGGAATTAGGGGTCCAGGAAAACTCCAACTATAACGAAACTTACAGACCTGCGGAACTTCAAGGATAAAGTAATCAGCCATCCAACTAAATGCAACCGGAAATGCGTAGTTCAAAACAGATATGTATGTTAATAGTCGGAGTACAAAGAGGATTCTAGGGTTATATCTGTTCATGTCGTTCGCTCTGTACTTCGCTTACATTCACTAAAACATACCGGAGCACATTAATATATAAAAATAAAGTGCACTGTGGCCAGACAATGTGAAATATTATTCCATTTCAATTGAAATAACATTGCTACTTCTGTAGTTAATATACCCATCAGGGAATACATTCCCATATCCTTCTAGAGTTAGAAGTATTATTCTCTGAGTTTTCTATTTTTAGAGGTACATAGAGGTACAGTTTAAGTGGAATTTCCGATTCAATAAATAGTCGAGAATATGTTTTTGTTTTAGTTTCCGTCAGAGAGTTGCAATCGAAGTAAAAATTCACTCACTCAGAATCATGAAATATGTTTCTGAACTGAATATTATTAGAAATTAACCCTGGGAAAGGGAAAGCCAAAATTTCATTGAAATTCAATTGAATTTACAAATAACACAAAAATTCTTTCCTGTAATCACATGGGATAATTATTGAGATATATAATAATTATTGATAATTGTTATGAATATATATATATATATATATATATATATATATATATATATATATATATATATATATATATATATATATATATATATATATATATATATATATATATATATATATATATATATATATATATATATATATATATATATATATATGTATATATATATATATATATATATATATATATATATATATATATATATATATATATATATATATATATATATTCACCGAATGTGAATATCACGTGCGCTTCGAAAAAATCATCGATCTTGTTGAATGATAATAGAATACAATTCTCTCATCATAATTATTAGTCATCAGTTTATATTGCATCAATCAATCAAGAATCGATGACTTTCAAAGCGCCAATAGGTCCTATATCCGAATGAGGGGAACAACAATTTGTGAAAATTGACGTGAGCTCCCCCTATCGAAGAAAAGAAGTATAAACTTTCCCTACTTGCCAGATCCCTACTCATGACAACAATTGTGCGAGCACGTGAGTCTTCGTGGACATTTCATTAAAAAACCACAGGAATTTGTCTGCAACAGGTAAAAATGATCCCACCATGCCTAATCGCTCCAAATCACGCCCTGGTGGGCAGAAGGATAGCTAGTTTCCTTTATTTACAGATTGTGAAAATTTTAGATTGTCATTTACAATCATTCATACTAGTAACTACTGGGACTCTTAATCAAAATATTCCAAAAGAAAACTCTCAGGGAGCTATCTACATAAAGGGTGTTCTTTTCGAAGCCCACTTAATATTCACTCACGAAAGAGATTCGTTCTCGTTGACAACATTGGTTTAGACTTCTCCCTGAGAGTTTTATTTGAAATATTTCGATATTTCGATTAAGAGTCTCAGTATTTACTAGTATTAATGATTCGTTAATCTTGAAACTATATATATATATATATATATATATATATATATATATATATATATATATATATATATATATATATATTCTTTCAAACAGAGGCTTTGAAGGTAGAGTCGAACCGTAATGTATGGAAAGAGCTGATAAAATTTAACTGATCGATACTGTTGTCGATACGCAAGTATTCGTCTCATTGCAGGGACAACAATGAGACAATGAAATTCTCTCTGTATTAGCAACACAAAGAGTTGAAGGTCATAAAATCGAAATACCGAATGATTCTAGCGCTCACTTTTCACGTACAAGGCCTTCCTATATAATTCACTTGAGTTTTTTTTTTGAACGGTGAATATATTATCTATAATTTATAATTTTTGATTCTTTTCTGATAAAATATACAGACTTGATGAAGATCGTTCTGAATTTCTGTGTGAGTATAACATAGACAGTTTGCTCAAATACGTATGTGATAACTCGTTATACAATTCAAGTTTATTTTAATCGTCTCATTTCTACGTCCAGCCTACGACTCACAGATTCCTTTTTATTGCTTGCATTTTCTCGAATGTTTCATTTCACTATGAAGGAATTATTGCTTCATTCAAATCTTCCTTATGCCGATGCATTAATAACGCCACCTTTTTAAAACCACCTGCTCTCAAGAGCTCAGAAGACGGTAACATAGAGAAAGAGGAAAACAGAAGCTGTTCGAGTTCATAAAGAAATCTCCTGCATAAATTTACACATTTTCACTTCAGCGAAAATTATATACTTCTTCAGTTATTTCAATTTATGATACTTTATAGTTCTTTTCTTCTATTATTGATATGAACCTACATGAAAATGTTCTTTAAACAAATATTAAGTGTTTTCAATGCAAATCAAATCAGGCTTCATCAGTTTGCACCACAGTTTCTTCGTTGTTATATTATTTGGTACGCGCAAAAAATATTTCGTTGAGATTTTTAACTGTTATCGAACGGCGTGAACAACTACTCAACAATCCGTTCATACGTACTTGGCGGATTTGTTCTATGTTGTCTAGGTCAAATGCTCTGACACGATGGAGCGTCTCGTGTAACAAAATGATTCTTGAAAGCTCAAATTCAAAATCCATAACTACCTGATTTCCTGAGATATTTCATCGACTCTTTCATACTTCTTATATATGTACAAATTGTCTATAAAAAATTGATATTTCATCATTTAGCAAGATGAACCATAATGCTTATTTCATGGACCATAATGCTTTGCGTATGGAGGTTTTGGATGATAAACCGAAAACGAAATATCAAGAACCGGTGAGGTATTCGAAACGAATTGAATTTTGCTCTTCACATTTCCATTCAAAAATACGCGAAAATCAGTATCGTACTCCTCGGAAAAATCCATTGCTGTTATTGTGATTATCCAGAATTCATTTTATCAGAACACGGGTTCGTTGTTAGTCTCTCTGAAATGGGAACTCCAATATTGCGTTGCTATCAGGAATTGTGTTGATCGCAAAGCAATTGAGGCCTGAAATGATTGTTCTTTGTCACCAATTTGTAACACACCCAACACCAAAATAAACTCATACTTTCAATACAATACTCCTCAATCATGGATTCATATCATGGAACAATGCCGAACGTGAAATAATAGCTGGCTCCTAACGACTGCAGCAGACAGAAACATCGATATCGGTAGCCACGCTTTTCGATCGAAGTGAACTATATAGAAATATCACTCACTTACATCAAATGAATTCAACAGAATGAACTAGAATGCCGTATAGTCCAATGTGACAGACGTAATTTCTTTTTCCGTTGTTTCCAAAAAAGCTTACGTATCATCATGGAAAGATTAAATCAGAGTTGAAAGATAATAATA